GCTGTCAATATCAGCCGCTTTCTTCTGATAAAGGAAAGCTAAATCAGTTTAAATAATGTGTCAAAGTGATTGTTGAAGGGTGAAATGGCTTTAGACTTAAATTAGAGAGGGAGGAGCCTCATTAGCACAGTTACTGCTCAGCCAATGAGGCGACAGCTTAAGACACTGAGGGGCGGGATGACGGGCGTGTTTTTAGGAAGTTATCATTGAGTTAAATTGGTCCAACTGCTTGTTTTCCTGTTACAGAGGGAGGAGTCTAATTAGCATATGCACCATTCAGCCAATGAGGCGACAGCTTAAGAAACTAAGGGGCGGGGAAGGGGACGTGTTCTCTGGAAGTGTTTGAATCATTGAGTTGAACTGTTCAAACTGCACTGTTTTTTTCTGTTATAGAGGGCAGAGCCTAATTGGCATAATCACCATTCAGCCAATGAGGCGACAGCTTCAGACACTGAGGGGCGGGACAATGGGCGTGTTTTCAGGAAGTTATCATTGAGTTAAATTGGTCAAACAGCTTATTTTCCTGTTACAGAGGGAGGGGTCTAATTAGCATATGCACCATTCAGCCAATGAGGCGACAGCTTAAGAAACTAAGGGGCGGGCTAGGGGGCGTGTTCCCAGGAAGTGTTTGTGTTTGAATAATTGAGTTAAACTATTTAAACTGCTCTGGTTTTCCTGTTATAGAGGGCAGAGCCTAATTAGCATAATCATCATTCAACCAATGAGGTGACAGCTTATGAAACTAAGGGGTGGGGAAGGGGGCGTGTTCTCAGGAAGTGTTTGAATCATTGAGTTGAACCGTTCAAACTGCACTGGTTTTCCTGTTATAGAGGGCAGAGCCTAATTAGCTTAATTACCATTCAGCCAATGAGGTGACAGCTTAAGAAACTAAGAGGCGGGGAAGGGGCATGTTCTCAGGAAGTTTTTGTGTCTTAATCATTGAGTAAAATTGGTCAAACTACCTGTTTTCCTGTTATAGAGGGAGGACTCTAATTAGCATAATCTCCATTCAGCCAATGAGCCAACAGCTTAAGAAATTAGGGGTGGGGCATGGGGTGCGTTGTCAGGAAGTTTTTGTGTCTGAATCAGAACAGCATTATCAATGCAGTTTGACCAGTTAAACTCAAAGAGGGAGGAGCCTAATTAGCATAGTCAGCGTTAGCCAATTAGGAAAAAGCTTAAAACACTGATGAACGATGCAAGGGGCGTATAATCAGTATGTTGCAGAGTCTGAACTATTGAGTTAGACTGGTCAAACTGCACTGGTTTTGCTGTCAAAGAGGGTGGAGTCTAATTAGCATATTTATCATTCTGCCAATGAGGTGACCGGCTAAAACACCGTAGGGTGGGGCTGGAGGCCTGTTGTCAGGAAATTTCTGTCTGAATCTGAACAGCAAGATCAATGAACTCAAAGAGGGAGGAGCCTAATTAGCATAGTCATCATTCAGCCAATGAGGCGACAACTTAAGACACCAAGGGGCGTATAATCAGTATGTTTCTAAATTAGACTGGTCAAACTCCACCTGTTTTCCAGACATAAAGGCAGGAGCCTAATTAGCATAATCACCATTCAGCCAATGAGGTAACTGTAATACACTGAAGGGCGGGGCATGTTTTCAGTAAGTTTGTGTCTGAACTATTGAGTTAGACTGGTCAAACTACACTGGTTTTCTAGTCACTGAGGGTGGAGCCTAATTTGCATAAGCACCTTTCAGCCAATAAGGTGTCAGTTCAAGACACTGAAGGGCGGAGCAGGAGGTGTGTTATCATTATCTGAGTTTGACTCGTAAAACGACTAATTTTCCTTTCACAGAGGGAGAAGTCAAATTAGCATAATCATCGTTCAGTCAATGAGGCATCAGTTTAAGACACTGAGGGGCGGGGCCAGGAGCATTCTGTCAATATGTGTCCAAGTCAGGATCGTTGAGTTTGACTGGTATAACTCTACTTGTTTTACAGTCACAGAAGGCGGAGCCTAATTAGCATAGTCACCGTTCAGCCAATCAGGCATCAGTTTAAGACACTGAGGGGCAAGGCGGGGCAGGGGGCGTGCTGTCAGTATGTCTCTGAGTCTGAATCATTGAGTTCATCATCAGGGAGGATGAGGCCGTCATCGCGGTTCAGGCTGTTGAACTTGCGGAAGGAGACGTGCTGTGACCTCAGCATGGGTAAAGGGTCAAAGGTCACGGTTTTGGATGGGCTGGAGTAGTGGTTAATGGTGGTGAAGGTGAGGCTGGAGAATGTGCCGGTGCTGCTGGGAGAGATGGGCATCATGCTGTTCAGGATCAACGCCAAACAGTCGGCCACGTCTTTGTTCGGCGCGCAAGCCAAAGCTGGAGTGTAACCTGGAAAATACAGCAGAAATGAAAATCAGCATCGATTAAAGCTCCGAACCATTCGAAATAATGCTTTTAATTCAGCATATTACCATTTGAATATATTACAAAATGTCATTTATTCATCTGATCTATTTAGTGCATCTTTGTTGAATTTAAGTATTAATTAAATTAAATAAAAATACTGTTGTGTATTTTGGTTGACTTTCATTGACTTTTCTATTTAAATTGATTTATTTTAACATGTATTATTATTATTATTATTATTAATAATTAAATCATCAGTTTATTAAATCATAAATCACTTTAACTAATTCATCACAGCAGTTTTTCTGCAACTTGTTACTTTTGGTAACTTTTAACAGCTTAAAATGGCTTTTTTCTGTTTAAATATATTTATTTTAAAAAGTAATTTGTTAATATTTATTAATAAAATGATCTTTTTAATGCAACTGTGCTTACACAGTTTCTTTTCAAATAAGAAAATTAATAAATAATCTTACAAACCCCAAACACTTTTTAAATACAGAAAGTTGTTGCAGTTTTAGTTCAGTATTGAGGTGATATTAAACATTTTATAATGTTTCTGTAATCTGGAAATCACATAAAAATCAGCATCAGCATTTACTGCAGCTCAAAATACAACAAAATAAAAAATATTTCTAGAATAATTAGAACATTTTTAGGGAATATATATTTTAAATTGCAATAATTCTGAATATTACTGTTTAAATATATTATAAAATGTCATTTATTCATGTGAACTGCCATTTATGAAAGATTTAATGCATCCGTGCTAAAATAAACTCTAAATATTTTCCCAAAGAATACAAATAAAAATACTCTAACTAAACTCTTGTTACTTTTGGTCGACTTTTAACAATTTAAAATGATTATTTTCTGTTTAAATGTATTTAATTTAGCAAGCAATTTATCATTATTTACTGATTAAATTACTTCTTTACTAATTAAAACACTTACTTTTAAAATAAGGAAATTAATAAATAAACTTACAGAGCTCGAACATTTTATGAATATGTCAAATTGGTGCAATTGAGGGGCTATTAAACGTTTTATAATCATTTTACATTTATATTAATTTGAATGTCTTTAATTGTAATTGATTTGTGTGCTTTAATCATTTTTATTAATATTTACTTCAGTTTTATCAAGCTATTTTAGTACATCAAGTTTAATGAAAACTGAGCTAAAATAAGGTTTATATATACTTTATACTTAATATATATATATATATATAATCCATAATTTCTTTTTATTTTGTAAACTTGGGAAATGTATCTGCTAAAAAAATGCTAAAACAGTTTATGGAATGAAGACAAAAGATAAACAAAGAATAAATAAATCAAATAAACGCTGACCGTTTTCATCGACGGCGAGGACACTGGCTCCTTTGGCCAGCAGCTCCTGCACCGCCACCGTCAGGCCATTACGAGCAGCGACGTGAAGCGGTCTGAAACACACGAGCAGAAACACACCTGTGTCATAATCTCCAGATAATGATGATGATGATGATGAAGAGACTGAACTCACGTCTGCAGAGCTGTGTTTGTGCAGTTGATCAGGTTTCTGTCTGTCACCTTCTCCAGAATTAACAAGGCACTGGTTTCATGTCCCTACAACACACACACACACACACACACACACACACACACACACACACACACACACACACACACACACTTACATGTCAACTTACAAAAGGAAATATTAGTGCATATATAGTACATAAATTATTTATATATATATATATATATATATATATATATATATATATATATATATATATATATATATATATATATATATTTGTTTTGTTTTTTAAATGTATTATTATGCCCCAGTTTTGTTCATATATTGCATATTTTTTCATATTAAATATTATTCATATTTATATGGTCAAAACTGATTCATTTCTGGTAGTTTGGTGCTGAATTGATGGCACAGTGTAGTACACAAGTTACACAAGAGGTAAATAAACATTAGTTGTCAGACCTGTGATTCAATATCTCCCGATAATGACTTATTAGGATGATATTTAAATTCTTATTCTGACATCCAGCAGCTCATTACATTACATTATATCCCTATTTGAAGTGTTTATGATGTTAGTTTCACACAGATGTAGAGTAATGTTAGCTGAATCAGTGTGTTGTCTACCTTACTGCAGGCCAGATGCAGAGCTGTGTTTCTGTGTGCGTCCTGTAATGTGAAATCTGCTTTAGCGCTGCTCACCAAAACCTCTGCAGAAACAAAACACTCGTCACACACACATCTCACATGTATATCAATCTCACACCAACACATCTGGATCTGTCGGATACAGACTCTAGCGCCCCCTCCAGTCTCTCTGGCACAATAACCCCACACTAATTCTCCACCAGTGTTTACCATGAAAGTCATTCAAACATATTTGAATTGCAAATCTGATGTAAAATAGCAAATAAACATATGGACCAAGTACTGTTGCCAACTTATTTTTTTTTAAATAAGCATAAGGAGTAAAACCTGCATAAAGTTAATTCAATTTCAGTTACATAAAGTAGTCAACGCCCATTTTTGTCTGACAATTAAACACTTACCGGCCACTTTATTAGGTACACCCGACCAACTGCTCGTTAATGCAAATTTCTAATCAGCCAATCACATGGCAGCAACTTCATTTAGGCGATCATGGTCAAGACAATCTGCTGCAGTTCAAAGTGAGCATCAGAATTGGGAAGAAAGGGGATTTAAGTGACTTTAAACATGGCATGGTTGTTGGTGCCATGTCAATATGAAGCAAAATCTCTGAGGAATATTTCCAGTACTTTGATGAATCTCTGCCATGACGAATTAGGGCAGTTCTGAAGGCAAAATGGGGTCCACCCCGGTACTAGTAAGGTGTACCTAATAAAGTGGCCGATGAGTGTGTTTATACCTAATAAAGTGGCCGGTAAGTGTATGTGTGTGTTTGGGAGTATATATATAGCTAAAGCTTTAGGGCTAAGGCTACTTTATAAATACATATATATAGTTCTGTATATATGTGTGTGTGTATATATATATATATATATATATATATATATATATATATATACATATATATATATATATAGTTATAAATAAATACAGTATACAGTTCTGATTCGGATTAGGGCAGTTCTGAAGGCAAAATTACTTACTAATAATTGTTACGGTACTAGTATGGTGTACCTAATAAAGTGGCCGGTAAGTGTATGTGTGTGTGTGGGAGTATATATATATATATATATACACACACACACATATATAAAGAACTATATATATATATATTTATAAAGTAGCCTTAGCCCTAAAGCTTTAGCCATAAAATGTAGATAAAAGTTGCTTTATTTGTTGTTTTCAAACCCATTGTCTCTCAAGCTGAGCTGGTGTCTGATTTCTACCTTGTGTAGGTGCGGAAATTTAACAATACGGCTGTACGTCGCACCTACGGCGTTGGTTTGTCCGTTCTCTGCCGCCATCATGAGCGGTGTTTTACCCAGCATGTCGATGGCGTTGACCTGAGCGTTGTGACCCAGCAGGAGCTGCAGACACTCCACATGATCAGTGTAAGCGGCGGCGTGCAGCGCAGTCCTGCAGGACACACACAACACAGCAAGTGAAAGACAATAAGGGTGTGGTTATCACAGTATGAAGCCCAACACGGAGATTCAATTAAAGAAAGTTTAAGATAGTGTTATTATTATGTTTTTTATTGTTGTTTTATTTAAGAGAGACTGAAGATAGTTTGCAGTTTCATCAGCAGAAGCCTGACAAAAGGCCACTCTGCTCAAAACAACAACAATTATACTCGTACATAACGTCACTAACTGTCCCATATATTTATATACATATATTGTCCCATATATTTATATACAGGGCCGGAGCAAGCTAAACTGCCGCTCTAGCCAAAGGACGGTCACGCCGCCCTCAACCCCAACCCTCTCTATTCTGCCGCACTAGACGCGTATATAACGGAGGGCGCGGGTGATGAGGATACTGTCGCAGACACCACCCTCTCTATTAGTCGCGGATATTACTGAGGGTGCGGGTGGTGAGTAGGGGTGTGATTGAAATTTATACTCAATTTATACTCAATTTCGATTATCGAATCAAAAAATAAATCGTCGATGCTGCCACGCCCCCATGTCACGTCAGCTTGGCTTGCCAAGCGGGAAAAAAACAGGCTTGTTGAAGTGCTTGTTAAACTGCAGAAGCAGGGGACCCGTCGACAGAACTTAAACCCTCTCCTCTTTCAATGAAGTCGCCGATGTGGAAGTATTTTGGATTTCCAGTGAGTTATGTTGACAACGTTCGTGTTGTCGACAAAAAAAAACAGTTTTGCAAGCTCTGCTGTGTACGTATTACGTACGGTTCGTCCGATAGACAACACCGGCATCGCGATCCTCCGCCCGCCCCCGTTGCAAATCCGCTCGTGAAAAGTACACACTCAGGCCCTGTTTACACCGTCTTTGTTTTTAAATGGCATTTTAGAACGACAACGATTTGACATCCACAGTGGCGTGTAGCATTTCTGAGCAGCCCTCCTTCCTCTCTACCTCTGAAAATGCACATCACGTGACCACACACACACAGACGCACACACAGCCATGCGCTCGAGACAGCAGGTCCAGGCAGTCAGAGGACTGCTTCAATCTTTCACTCACTTGTACTCAGTCATTTTAGCGAACACCTCAGATACTGTTGGCTGGTTCCTGTTGGTTGTGCGTCTTTTTTACCGACGCCATTATAACGACACAGATCACTGCCTATTCACGAGTCCCGCAGAAAAAGTGATTGACAGGTGGTAATTATGTGTGTATCTTGCCTTTATTCATTTACTGTATGATTTGTTTATGGATAAATCAAAGACCATGCAGGTCAGGTAGTTTAAACGGTAGGCTACAAATAATTAATTGGTCATTAATTAATTAATTATTCATAATCGAAAATCGAATCGTGCCTTTAGAACCGAAAATGTAATCGAATCGAGGATTTGGAGGATCATGACACCCTTAGTGGTGAGGGTAGTGTCGCAGACGCCGCCCTCTCTATCCTGCCACCCTGACCTATCGGTGGTCACTAACTGGTTCACTTTCGGTGTGAACCCACAGTTACTCAGAGCCGTAACAGTTGAGTAAATGCATAGTCGACAGAAACGAAAACGGCTAGCATAGACGAACCTGTGCATTATCAAGGGTCAAGGGTGAGTAAATGATGTCAGAATTCTCATTTCTGTGTGAACTGCCCATTCTTACCTGGACTGTGAGTCTGTGGCGTTCACTATCGCTGGACCTAAAGTTTCTATCAGCATCTCTGCTGCAGACTCATTATCATTAATCCTGAAACCCAGGGAAAAGCACGGTAAACATCCCTTTTACACACTGGAAATCAAACAATAGAAGTTTCACAGTGAGTTCAGTGTGTTACTTCTTTCTATCAGCTTTCTATCAAACTCTTTGTACAGCGAGTGTTTTCTCTGTGTGTGTTCTGGTCATCTTACACAGCGCAGTGCAGAGGACTGAAGGAGTTTCCCTCCATCTTGCGGAAGACGTCCTGCTCCAGAAGCAGCTCCACACATGCGTCATGACCTGAGGTGATCAACACAGAACAACACATGAGAGAGCAGAGCCATGCTTAAAATATCATTATAAT